ATGAGCTCAGGATAAATATTTCCTTAAAGTAAGAACCTTTAATACCCAGTAAGCTCTCTATTATTACTTGCAAAGAGATCACCTGTTGTAACAACAGTAGGTTTATCCACCAGAGAAAACCTCTTGATGGTGAATTACTGACAACAAAAGGTTTCTAATCACTGAAGAAGATATTAGTGATATTCACAGGTCCTGTGTTAACAACTGCAGCAACCTACACTGAGTTAGATAGGGACAGATGTCACAGTAATGTGATTTCAGTATTTGATAGCTTGGGGCTGCAGATGTTAGTTGGTAATGCCCTTTGTTGAGTAATAGGAAATTTCTGCTTTTTCTCTTTGCTTTTATGGGTAGTGAAGCCAATATAACATACTTTTCAGATAGCTTACATCTGCACCTCTTCAGTCTGTGTAGCTGCCTGATTCATACTGCTGATCATTTTGGTTCAAGAAAGCCTAGTCATGGCCACTCATCCCCTCCTGATCTGGTAGTGGAGAAGGAAAATACAGATCTGCTCAGTAGGCAGCTGTTTTTAGGGAGTAGCAAGGTTCTTAACTCAGAGCTGCGTTAAAATTCTCAGCCTGCTGGCATAGCTTAGGTGCGTGAGTGGAGCTGTGGAGTCACTCGTGGGTGTCTTGTTTTGGTTTCTCTCTTCCTGGCCTCCAGGCACCTGTGTTGGTGCTCAGTCTCTTGGTGTCTCTGATTTCCCATGCACAGCCTGGCCTTTCCCTCAGGGCTGTCTGCCAGCCTTGCTGCCCAGCTCACCCCAGCCCCTGTACCCCTGCTCTGTGTCATACTGGTTTTGCCATTTGTCTTACCAGCTGCTTTCTGTCCAGCTAGATCCTGGTTTTCCTTTTTCAGTGTGCTGTTTCACATGCATCAGGATGCCACCAGGGCTCCTGCTACAGAAGGGAACAGCTCCCATTCTCCTCCCTGTGTCCCCACATCCCTCCTCTGCTTTGCCACAGCTCTCTGGATGCTTGTCACACCCTTCATGTGAGCCAGCTTAATGAATGTAAATTACATCAAACTGTGTGAGAAAAACAGTTTTCTTTGAGGAAAATGACTGAAATGGGCTTGTGGAAGAAGGCCCAGGCACATGCAAGGCATCATAGAGGAAAAAAAAATCTCCCTTTTGGCAGATTTCCCTTAGGGTTCTGTTCCCTTGGGGACCATCTTGGTGGTGATGCTGCTGCAAAAGATATGGGTACCTGGAGCTGCTCCTCCAGATTCAAAGTGAACATGTTATGAGAACTTCCAAAAGGAAAAATTGGAAATGCTAACATCTCCCTGAGTCTGTGTTTTGTGGTTTCTGTGTCTATGTGATATGTGGGGCCAGGCAGTTAGTTGTGAGGTATATGGAGGCAAAATCTTTATAATGAGTTGTTTTACTAGTGGATAATGCTATTAATGCCCAACTATAACAACTGAAAGAGCTGACAAGCAGAATTTTAATTATTTTAAAACTTCAATCTTTTTTCAATTCTACTAAAAAATGACCAAACATGATACTAATACGTTGTATAAAGTAGTCTTTAAAAACTTTTAGATGTAGTCCATTGGTAGAAGAAGCGAAGTGAACATTGAATGTTTCATGTACCTTTTCATGGCAATATACTGACTTTAGTGGCTGGGAGGCTGGGAGGGAATTGGAATTGGATATTTGAGATATGAGAGAGCAAATGTTTTAATAAATTGGGAGTTAGTACACAATATTGTGCACAATCTATATATATATGTATATATTAAATGAGGTAAAAAGGAGTAGCAATTTCTCCATATAAAAGATAATAAAGATTTTTTTTTTTTTAAATAATCAGTCAAACTTTCATGGGGTAACTCTGTATGTTTCTCTCTCTCCTCATCAGCACCTCTGAAATAGTTTACCCTCAGTTTACTCTTGGACCACATAAAGAGGACTGGTAATAACATTCCCCAATTTTAAATCACCTTAACCAGGATTCAATGCAGAAGCTGTGACCTGTGCTTGGCAGGAAGGAGGTGCCTATGCCTGGCCCTGGGAGGAGGTGGCGTGTGGGGAGGTCTGAAAGTATGCCAAGTGCTGAGGAGATCAGGGGGCTCTTATCCACTCCTCAGTCACTTGTTGCCTGGGAGACAAATGTAATCCAGACATTTTTTTATTTTTGACCCTTTCTTGCTGGTTTTTGATTGGAGTCACTATTGACTTTTGGCTTGGAGGAGGTAGTGAAGCAGCACGCCAAGTGTCATAAGATGGAAATTAATCACTAACCGGGTCTGAGCTTCAGTGATTTCCTTTCCCGTGATTGCTCTGTATATGGGAAGACTAATGACACATCTGAACAGACAGTTAACAAAGCTCTTCACACCTCCCAGCAGTCAAGAAGGTTTCTTAACCAGATGTCATTTCAGTTTTCCTTTTTATTCATGCTCTGTTATGTGATTGTGGAAAAACAAAAATAACTATCTGAAAAGAGAACATTGCAAAGTTGGCAAGCTTTGCCTTAAATTACATTTGTTTTTGCTGGTAAATTATAAGTCAGTTCAGTTGCAGTGAAAATATAGTAAATCTGCCTTCCCAGTGTTTTCTTTTTTTTAACGAGGAGTGTACTTCTCAATATTTTTTATGAGAGTTCCTGTTTTCCAATGAGATTATTTTTGGCTTTTGCAAGAATATGGGTAAGCCACACAAATTTATCTTAGCAGTAATGAAAGGTTTTGAAGTTGCTCTTCTGTAGTGTCTTCATATTGTAAGGCCCTCAGCTTAAACTTAACTGATGGGTTTTGGGGAGTTATCTCCTCCAGGTAGATGAAAAGGCTGTCTTGGAAGTAAATGGAAAAACAGAGAAGTTTGAAAACAATATATTGTGTTCCACTAAGTACAAATAAGGTATTTAAGTGTAGCTTTTTTTTATATAAGCTTATCCCATGCTGTAAGAAGTAAGGAATCCAGCAAAGGTTTTCTTCTGAAAAAATTTCCTAGTTTTGCTCATTGCTTGCTTAAAAGGAAATTTTATGTTCTTAGTCTGGGTCTTGGCTACAGCATGGAAGTGGAATTTGGGATGCTTGGATTCTATTTTTGACTCTGTCCTTTGCCTAAAAATCACTTACTGGGCTTGTCATGTTTCTGGCTTATTGTCCCATATTTTAAGAGGGCTAAGTGTAACAACCTCCTTACTGCAGACTGCTGTGAGAAGTGTGGTGCAATGCTTCCACAGCTGACAGCAGCACTGGGTCTCTCAGTTGTCGACTGTAGTGTTTTACTGAGATGAGAGCCAGAGGCTTTTGCTTGCTGTCTCTCTGGCCCCTTTAGTCTTGGGCTTTTTTGGCCATATCAGGGCCTTGCTTTATTTCAAGAGCTGGAAGATGTCTCCCCTTAGACTCTTTTGTGGCCTCCTGGTAGGGCAGCTTTGGGCAGTAAAAGGATGGATGGTCTTGAACTCTGGAAGCCATCCTGCAGAGTCTTGACTCCATGCTCCTGTTCCACCAGAGCAGCATAAAGAATCCCGGCCTCTTTCTGACAGGATGACAGGAGGCTGTCACAGCTCCTGTGGGTTGTGCTGCCTGCTCTCCTTTCAAGCTAAGTCTCACATGGTGCTGGAAAATTTCTAGGTACACATGCAGCCATCCAGGGACATTGAGGAAGACTTTTCTTTTTCATTTCTTTTTGGGGAGGAGAATTTAGTGCAGATTTGCTCTCTGTTAGCATGTTGTATGTTGCACTGTATATCCTAAAGCTGTCCCTGGGGCAGAGGAGCACTTAGGAGGGGGTAGGGCAAAGATACAAGTTTTCAAAAGGAAACAGGTGTCCAGTTTTGGTCTTCTGTATGGTTTAAGAAAATAATGTCCTTCTTCTGATGTGATTCTGTCTCTCTCTGTGTGTGTGTGTGTGTGTGTGTGCTTGTTCTTCAACATGTTAACTGAGAGCTTTGTTTCACTGAGAAGTTGAAGCAGAGAAAAGGGATAGTCCTGGTTTGAAAAGTAGCTAGAGGCAGTAACACAGCCTCCCTCACCTGTTCCAGAAAGTATCAACATTTAGAAAAAAATTTTAGCATAAGGCCTTGAAAGCCTGCCAGTTGAGTTCAGTCAAGTTAGGATTGGTGTTTGCATATGTATGATCAAGACTGCTCCTGAACTATCATTCCGTATGCTTTCATAGTGGAGGTGAGGCAAAGTTTTCATATTTGTTTGAGAACTCACACAAAACAGTCCAAAATATCATCAGCCAGACCTTTGATGGGATTGAGACGAGAAATGAAATTGCACTGCTTGTAACTGGAAAATAAAAACTGAATTTTAGTGTAATCTTTGCCTTACTTAACTGCTTATGTTTTTCCTTGTATTAAAGGGTAATTACAATAACTGTTGTTTTAGCTGATCATAATTTCTCAACACCCTTAAATGGTTATACTCTGATTATACTGTGGGCTTTTTTTTTTTGTTTTGTTTTGGTTCATTGGTTTGTTTTGGGTTTTTTTGGTATTTTTTTCCCCTCTGGGGAGAAAAGATGATTAATTTCCTCTTGTAGTATAATGGCATTGATGTCATGTGGGTTGGAGGATTAAGTCCTTATATTTTTAAAACAGTTGCTAGTGTGTTTAACCCTCTTCTTTTAGCCTTGTTTCTGTTTGTATAACAGCAAAAGGAAAAGAAAACCACTTCCAAAAACAAGATACTCTCTTCAAAGTTTCTCTTTAACAGTTAACTGTAGCTTCTTATTTTTCCAATATGAGATGATTGGAAAATTGCTAGATATTATTAAACCGTATTAACTAGTAAAAAGAGAGAGGGAGGAAAGAGCAACGAAACATTCATTCTTTTTTTTCCCCTCAGAATTGTGATTTAAATCATAGTCATAATACATTATTAATGGAGCAATAATCTCTGGCAAGCAAGTTATATTTGCTTCTCTCAGACAAAAAACCCAAACCCACTGCTTTTCCTGACAAAAACTGCTAAATAAGTACGCTGTTCCATTAGATCAAATATTTGATTTTTTAAAAATTCTTTTCTCTTTGCAGAGTATTGGAAAGGGGTCCTTGTGGTGTATAGACCCAGAATATAGACAAAATCTTATTCAGGCTTTGAAAAAGACACCCTATCACCCATATTCGCATGTGTTCAATACACCTCCCACGTCTCCTCAGGCATATCAAAGGTAAGAACTAGATGCATTTTACAACTCTAAATGTTTTCCCGTGGTGTTGGGTATGGTTCTTGGCTAAGACATTAAATGTAATGAGGTGATGCAGTGTGGCATGTGCTAGTGCAGAGCCCGGGACGGTGCTGGGGTGGCCTTGTTCCTGGCCCTTTACCTGCTCGTGCCCCTGCTGGCATCAGCCCTTCCGAGCAGAGCCTGCAGGCTTCTGCTACAGCCCTTTGGCAGGGGAGCGCCTGAAATAAAAATGCAGATAAGCAAATGGAGAGCTCTGAAGTGCCCACTTATCCCATTTGCTGAAGGCACGATTCCCTCGCTGGGGAAATGGGCTCGTTCTTTTCCCGGGAGAGCTGGGGGCCGATGTTGCCTGTGCAGCCGCAGGATGCCCACCAGGTTGAGCTGGTGCCCAGGTGGCTTGACCAGCCCTCGGTGGTGGACGGGTGCCTGTGGTGGCCCTTAGGATTAGCCTGGATTTTCTCCTTGGCTTCAGTGAAACAGACGTGGGGTGGAGTTTTTCTGTTCTGTTTCGTGTTTTTTGATCTGGCATTCATTTACGACCAGTGTTAGCAAAGAGACAGTATCTATGGCTGCCATCCGCGAGGCAGGGAAGCAGGCGCTGCGGTTTAGCAGAGCTGCTTTCTCCTCGATGCCAGTGAGGGCCGGGATGCGGTTCATGGCCCGTGCTGCCCAGCCCCGCATGGGGAAGGCGTGGTGAGCCGGCTGCAGCAGGGCCCGCAGCAGCGCCGGGTCGGAGCGGTGACGCTGGCGGCTCTGGCGGCGGCTGAGGCGGTTCTTGCCGCTTCTCCGCGTCCGGCGGGCGGGCGGCCGGGGCGGGCGGCGTGCTGGTCGCCGTGGCGACGGGGCGTCTCCGCGGCACGGCGGGCGGGCGGCGCTGGGAGCGGAGACCCGGGCCCCTCTTGTGTCGGGGGATCGCCCCGCTGGCCGGCGGTGCCCCTGGACCCCTGGCTTGTTCTGTGGAAACCAGGGTGGGACCAGGGCTCGGCTGCCCCCGTGTTCCGTGGGGTGCAGGGGAAACACTGTCCCTGTACCACCTGTGGAAGTATCTCCCACTACTGTGCTCTGCGGAAGGACAGATAAATAATTTCGATAATGGATTAAAACTGTAATTTGTGCATTTGAACAAAGCATGTTTCTGGCCCTTCCTTTATTGTTACTGCTGCCTTTTTGAGAGTATTTTAATTATGCTCATAGAGATTTATTGATAAATTCTCATACTGAGTAGAAGTGTAGTGGACATCTGGCATAGAAATGGAGGGATTTTGATCCCTTCTAACCCCCAGAAACAAAAAAAAAAAATCAGCATACACATGCAGTTGAAAGCCAGAGAATCTCCCGTTTTTTTATGGCTGAAGTGACTGTTGACTCAATGGGCTGGGTTTGCCAGAACCTCTGTGTAATTTGGTGACAGATGTTGGCAACAACGACATGGGCAGCTCTTCTAGGCTGGGCTGAAGGAAGCAATGCAGCAGCACTGCTGTGGGCAGTCCTTGCAGGGACAAATCCTTAGAGACACTCTGTCTGGGTGTCAGGGAGTGCAGAGGGGCATAGCTACCCTGTGTCCTACACATCTGTGTGCCTACTGCTGCCCTGTCCTCATCCTGCACATCCGTGTGCCCGCTGCTCCTCTCTCCTCATCCTGCACATCCGTGTGCCTGCTGCTCCTCTCTCCTCATCCTGCATAGCTGTGTGCCCGCTGCTGCCCTGTCCTCATCCTGTACAGCTGTGTGCACTCTGTTCCTCCTCATCTTGCACAGCCATGTGCCTGCTGCTCCTCTCTCCTCATCCTGCACATCCATGTGCCTGCTGCTCCTCTGTCTTCATCCTGCACAGCCGTGTGCCTGCTGCTGTCCTGTCCTCATCCTGCACAGCTGCATGCCTGCTGCTGCTCCGTGCTTGCTGTGTGTGGCAAAGGATGCCTGCAGAGTCACAGACCTTGGATAGAGGTTGTGCTTCTCTCTTCAACTGCGGTGTATGTCCAGAACTTCATAGCCTGTTTTCATGAGTGGGAGAAGAGAGGAGTACTGGCAGGTGCCAGGTCCCAGTATGGGATTTAAGAAGCGGGTTTCAATCTCTACCTGCTTTCAGCACTGCCTAGTGTAGATGAGCAAGGGAGAAGGAGGGATCGAGCAAAACACTGACAAACGAGTCCCAAAACTGAAAGGGAAGGTTTTTCTCCTTGGAGCCCATGAGATGTCTGAGCTGCTGCTACACTGCTTGTGCTGCCAAGTGCTTTGGAGTCTTCCTTGTAATGACTGCCTCATAAAAAAAAGAGCTTGTGTGGTTGAAGGTGCAAATGCCTTGCAAATACAGCGAAGGTCAGGTTTTATATGACAAAATTGTGGTATCACTGTTACTCTTAGTTGGCTATCTTTCAGCATTTCCTCTGTTAAATACAACTTAATATCCCCTTAGTATTCTTAAATATTTATTCATTCTGCTGCTAATGACTGGTGAAACATCAACATGAAGCTAGTCTAGGCTATCAGTGACTTTTGAATTAATTCTGGATTGGCAGTTACATGGTAATTTTCTGAATATATTTCCAATATATTCTCAACATTCCCTGTGCATTTGGAATAAAACAGTAATCCCATGTGTAAGTGATTGCTTTCTCATATGTACAAAGACTTCAGTAGGAGTAGAAAATGTAAATCTACTCCACCATAGTCAGATCTCCAGAGCAATACATTGTCATAGTAACAAATTCCGAGGGGAATTTTTCTTATGGTGAATACAGTACATCTAGAAAAAATCCTTAGGTGGCAGAGGTTTGGCTGTCTGTCCATCTTCTGTAATGGAAGTCCACAACTAAGAGAAGCTATGTCACTTAATATTAATTAAATATATCTGGAACCAGATAATTTGCCAATATTATTCCTGCATCTAGGAAGAAGGTTTGTAAGGGTTGGTTGGTGAAATTCACAGGGGCAAATTGACTTATTCTTTGTCTTTATCAGACGTTTTAAAAGAATAAAGATGCACAAGTGAATCACGTGTTCTGTTTAGTATCTGTATAAGCAGCTTAGGGTTGAATTTAGCACAGAGTGGAGGAATGCATTGTAAAAATATCCCAAGCACAATGATTACTGAATACACAAATTCTCCTTTTCCTGAACAGAGTTAATTTCATCAGATAATTCAGTTTCATGATGACTTCAGTAGAGCATCCTGCATAAATGTGACAGGGGTGGACCTTTTATGAAGGAGTTTCATGATGCAAACCCATGCATTTGGATGGCTGAGTGAGAGTTATACCAGTATCATTTGAGATAAAAATGACTCAAGCTATGACATTTGGACTACATTGGTTTCCATGTATAAGAAGACTTGGGGGAAAAGGCAACCTTGCTGTGTTTGTACATAAGAAGGAACTTCAGACTGCAGTTGTCTGAATTGCTGCTTCAATTCAGGGCAAAGATTACCTGTAAGCTGTAAGATGAGAAGAAGTAGAACATCACAAGGTGAATTATTTAATTTGAATTGGCTTGGATGTGTGTTCTTAAAAAACAGTACTTGCAACAAGCAAAACCCCTTGGTTTTTTATCTGGTTCTTCTAATTGAAGTGTGTGTCATAAAGCATGTCATTTATGATGAATTTCAAGAGCAAACTAACACTGATACACTTAATTACAAAGGAGAATCTCTCCTTGGTGTTGAAAAATACGTATGTTAGACTAATGTGTTTCTTCTTAAATTTTACAATTATTTTGGCAATAGCAACGTTGAAATATATTTATAGACACACACTTGGTTAAGTAACTGTACAAGTCAGTGCCCTGATACTTCATCTATGTGTTTTATTTCCAGATTTCTGACTCTAACTGAAATGTAGGTGGGATTTTCTCTTCAAGTTGTGCTTGGAGGAATCTTGAAATGTTTTTTTTCCTCTGTGTATATTACATGGGGCTATTTCTCAATTGTATTTATCTTTGTACTGCTGAAAACTATCAGGAAATGTAATCTAAAATAACAGAAATTATTATTTTCACAGAGTAATAAAAATATTTGAAAATTCAGGTGATAATCCAGGAATATTGGCTTTATAGACTTGTGGATAATTATTTAATGGCTGTTCATTTTTTCAGTGTGTTTTCCTAATTGTACTTTGTTAGAGCAGTGTCAAATGTTGAAGATCTGTCCAGTAGCTGATGAAATTGCTGACATGCCCAAGCTAGAAACTAAAGAGGTATTTCTTTCTTGAGCGGCCCCAGACTGCCTTTTCATAAAGGCTTTGTTTGGTTCCTTGTTAGTTTGCTCCTTCCCGTAGGAACGGATCCTTGGGTGAGCTTGGGTCTGCTTCAGGAAGGATTGAGACCCTGGACAGAGTTGAACTAGACTTGTGCTTGGCTTTGGACATGGAGTCCACCTGTGCACATCATAGCATTTGTGTCAGAAAAATACATCTGGCATCCATCGCTGCATTTCAGCCAGGTTGCCCTCTGTAGGGAGGATTTGAGCCTTGCAGGGCAGGAACCAACAGGAAACAGTGTAACAAAAACAACCTGCAGCAGTTTTGGTGTTTGTAGGGTGTTCGGTGTACGTGGCACCTGCTGGTGGTTGTGGAGCAGATGCCGCAGAGCCACCCCACCATGCCCCAGGCTCCCAGACAGTGCTGCAGCTTTGGTGATGGAAACAGGCCCTGCAAGGAGTCAGCAGAAAACTGCCTCTGCTGCTTACGTGGAGGCACTTCCCAGAACATTCATTCGAGTGTGCGTGGCTTTGTCATCTGGTTTTCCACTCTGCTTCCCTTGGTGAAGTGTAGGTTATGGAGGTAGGCCAGTGGATCACAGTGAGCCTGCACGTTCACGAGTGACCAAACATTTTATGAAACAGTGCTAACCTGGGATTTCAAAAATTTGGAGTGGTTACTGTTTTATTGAATTTAGTGTCTCTTTATGGCATTTCCTTTTGCTCCTGTTAGATTTCCAAAAAAAGCTATGAGCTCCTTAAGCTTCTCCATTGTCTTGTCTTTTGATACC